CCTCTTCCTCAGGTCTTGGGACTCAGAATGAAGGCTCCCCTGTCCCCCTGGCTTATGTGAGTGACATTTATGCTCCTCCTGGCTCCCTCCCCCTAGCCCTGCTAGATCCCCTTCACAAGCATCGGCCCTGTCCCCAAGCCACAACTCCAAGGCTTCTTACCTCCTGGATAGGGAAATGGTGGATACCTTCCTTATCCAAACCAGTAGCCATGATCCAGCACATGATGGTCCAGGGGATTCTCCTGCTTCTCCGCCTGAGCTTCTGCACTATTCAGGGGATTCCATATTTAGCACCCGTTTTGCTGATTTACTTGCTTGCTGAAGGAACTAGATAAAGCTACCACTAAGTTGGCCTCTGACCTGAAACAGGATTTTAGGGAGCTGGGAAATCGACTAGAGAATATTTAATCTATAGTTGATGATACCACCTAGATGAAGCTTACAACAAAATAGATGATCTCGAGAATTGTGCTAGGCGGTTCAACTTTCGCATTAGAGAACTTCCTGAAATGGTAAAAGATATCGCCTCCATCGCCCATTCCCTTTATGCATTCTGCAGTACCGTCTATTGATGAAATCCATATAGTAATAGATCGTATCCACAGAGCTTTAGTCCCTTTAAAGCAGTATGGACCTCCTTGGGTTGTTATTATAAAGCCTCACTTCTTCAGGGTAAAGGAGGCGGTGATGCAATACATTCGGGAACATCCAGATTTGGAAGTTGATGGTTACAAGAGCCAAGACTTTACTGACATCTCTCAAGCAATCATTCAAAAATGGAGAGCCTTCAAACTGTTACTCTCGCCCCTAATTCAGAGGGACATCCGCTACAGATGGAATTACCAGTTTTGCCTACAATTCATCTCCAATGGCAAATCCTACTCCTTTTCCCATATTTCTTGAAGGAGAAAAAAATTTGCTGAACTTGGGCTTCATTTCCCTCCTCACGGAACCAATCCAAAGCTAACGGACCACCTCCGCTATACTCTCACCCCTTTGGTCCTCCGCCCCCAGGAAGAAGCCTGCAACCCCACACCAGCTGTCTTGTTTTCCTGATAGTTGATAATTCATTTAGCGGAGGCATCTCACTGGTCCCATCATGGGACATTGGCCTTTGAACATGTTTTTGAATTTTTTTTTTTTTCTGAAATACTTTGTACCCTAGCAGTGTCGTCCTCTACTTCTTTTCTGGTTTAAATTGTTTATATTATGTATAATGATTCTGTGGCTTCAGGAGCCTCTTATGTATGTTTATGTGGATCCCGAGGTGCAGGGAAGAGTCTATGTGATCTCCCTAATTGTAAGACTCTCCCCATTGCTTGACTTTGGTGGAGACTCTTCAATCCCTTGACCTTGTGTCTAGGATATTTGTTATATTTAATATCTCACGTTATATATTACTTTTTGCCAGTTGGTTGGATGCTGGCCATTCCTTGGCTTCGGAATCTCTTGTTTCCTTTTTTCTGCCTATTTGACTTAATTTTTTTTACTATCTTTATTTGAGGGTCAACTCGGGACTCCCAAGAAGGTCTTGGATACTCGATATCCCGAGCTGGTGGGTTTGTCTAATTACAACTATATTGCTTGCTTTCCATGTCTACCTTAAGACACCATAGTGCCACGTTCCGATTGCTTTCCCATGATGTTCAAGGGTTAGGTTCCCCTTCTAAGTACCTAAAAAAATGTTCCCACTACAAGTTCCTGGGAACTGATATTGTTGCTCTACAGGAAACACATTTTGCTCCTTCTTTCACACCTAGGTATATCCAAAGAGATTTTCCGGTCTGTTTTTTTGCTAACTGAAAAAAGAGAGAGGAGTAGCGCTTTGTCTTTCCAGACATGTCTTTCCATTTCTATCGTTGACCAAAACTAAAGTGGTAAGGGACAAGGAGGGGCGATTCCTTTTAGGGGGTAACTTAGTCACTGTTCTTATCTAGTATGCCTCTAACACGAATCAGGTGGCCTTTTTCCAATCTACAATTTAAATCTTCATTTGCTGAACTGGAAGGCGATGTTAGGGGACTTAAATCTAGCCTTATTATTTATTTTTATTTATTGTATCGAGTTTATATAGCGCCGGAAGGGTTTGCTCAGCGCTGTACAATAGAGGGGGGGGGACAATACATGAAACAGTACAGTAACAACAAACAGCACACAAGGGGTAAGAGGGCCCTACTCTTTCGAGCTTACAATCTAGGAGGGAGGGGGTAGAAGTACAGGAGGAAATGGCTGTGGGGGATGGAGTGGTAGGAGGAGGGAAGGGCAGCGGCTGTTAGGTGAGGGTGGGGTAGGCTTCCCTGAAGAGGTGGGTTTTCAGGGAGCGCCTGAAGGTGAGGAGGGAAGGTGGCAGTCTGATGGATTGGGGTAGTGAGTTCCAGAGGATGGGGGAGGACCTGGAGAAGTCTTGCAGTCGTGCGTGGGAGGAGGAGACCAGGGAGCAAGATAGAAGGAGGTCCTGAGAAGAGCGAAGGGTACGGGTAGGGTGGTACCTGGGAATCAGGTTGGTTATGTAGTTAGGGGCAGTGTTGTGAATGGCCTTATAGGTCAGAGTGAGTAGTTTGAATTTAATGCGTTGGGCAATGGGGAGCCAGTGGAGGGAGAGGCAGAGGGGGGGTGGCAGAGGTGGAGCGGCTGGTGAGGTGGATGAGTCTAGCAGCTGAGTTCAGGATGGTCTGAAGCGGGGAGAGTTTGCACTGGGGTAGGCCGGTGAGGAGGGAGTTGCAGTAGTCAAGGCGTGAGATAATCAGGGAGTGTACGAGTAGTTTAGTGGTGTCTGGGGTAAGGAAGGAGCGTATCTTGGCGATGTTCCGGAGGTGGAGCCTGCATGTGTTTGTAAGTGATTTGACATGAGGTTGAAAGGAAAGGTTTGAGTCCAGAATGACGCCAAGGACCTTGGCTTGCGGGGCGGGATTGATGGTGGTGTTGTTGTTGTAGTGATGGAAAGGATGGGGGGGGGCGCGGGAAGGGGGGAAAGATGAGAAGCTCGGTTTTGGGGAGGTTGAGCTTGAGGAAATGGAGCGACATCTAGTCAGAGATGTCGCTTAGGAGGTGAGTGATGCGGGCGGAGAATGTGGGGGTGAGGTAAGGGGTGGATAGGTAGATTTGAGTATCATCAGCGTAGAGGTGGTAATTGAAGCCGTGGGAGTGTATGAGTTTGCCAAGGGAGGAGGTGTAGATGGAGAAGAGAAGGGGTCCAAGGACAGAGCCCTGGGGGACCCCAACAGAGAGGGGGAGGGAAGGGGAGGTGGCACCATTGTAGGAAACGCTGAAGGAGCGTTGGGATAGATAGGACGAGAACCAAGAGAGATCAGTGTCTCTGATGCCAAGGGAGAGTAGTTTATTAAGGAGGAGGGGGTGGTCGACTGTGTCAAAGGCCGCGGAGAGGTCTAGGAGGAGGAGGACAGAGTAGTCGCCTTTGGCTTTGGCGGTTAGTAGATCGTTGGTGATTTTGAGGAGGGCAGTTTCGGTGGAGTGTAGGAGACGGAAGCCGGACTGAAGCGGATCAAGGAGGTTGCTGTCAGTTAGGTGGGCGCTTAGGCGATCGTAGACCAAGCGCTCAAGGAGCTTGGAGGTGAGTGGCAGCAGGGAAATTGGTCTGAGGTTGTTGAGGTCAGTGGGGTCCAGGGAGGGCTTTTTGAGTATGGGGGTGATGTGCGCATGTTTTAGGGGGGATGGGAATGTGCCAGTAGAGAGGTAGAGATTGAAGATGTGGGTAAGGGAGCGGATGAGGGAAGAGGGGGGTGACCAGAGGAGTTGAGAGGGGATAGGGTCCAGGGGGCAGGTAGTGAGGCGGGCTTCTGAGAAGACTCTTGTGACTTCCTCAGTGGTAGTAGGGCTGAAGGAGTGCAGTGATGGGGGGGTTTCGGTAGGCAGGGCCTTGGGTGTGGTGGGGGGCAGTGCCGTTGCGAGGTCAGAGGAGGGGAGAGATGAGGGGGGGTGATGGAAGGGGGGAGGCTAGATGGGGAGGTAGATTGTAAGTTGACTATGTCCTTGCGGATTGCGTCAATCTTGTTGTTGAGATGAGTGGCAATCTCGTGGGCGGTAAGTGAGGTACTGAGTGGAGGAGGGGGGGGGGAGAGAGCAGGGAGTTGAAGGTGGAGAAGAGTCGGCGAGGGCAGGTGGAGAGGGTGTTGATCAGGTTAATGAAGTAGACCTGCTTGGCGGCGTGGAGGTGTAGGTGAGGAAGGCAGATTTGTAGAGGGAAAACGCAAGAGGGGACTTGGTTTTGCGCCATAGTCTCTCCAGCGCACGACTGCGACGTTTGAGGCATTTAGTATGGTCGTTCTGCCATGGTTGGAGCAGTCTAGGTTTGATGTTGCGTGTGGTTAGGGGTGCCAGAGAGTCTAGGGTAGCTGATAGTGAGTCGTTGTACGCGGTGGTGGCTAGGTCAGGACATGACAGTGGAAGGATGCTGTCGTGTAAGCGGTCAGCAGCCGAGTGGAGTGGGGCCGGTGGAGGTTGCGGAGGTTGCGGCTGGTGATGGTTTGGCGCACTGGGGGGGGGGAGTTAGGGGAAGGGGAGGTGGAGAACGTGAGGAGGTGGTGGTCGGAGAGAGGGAAGGGGGTGTAAGTGGTTGAGGGTACAGAGGTGGGAGAAGACGAGGTCCAGGGTGTTCCCATTGATGTGGGTGGAGGATTGAGTGTATTGTGTGAGTGTGAAGGAGGAGGTTAGGTGGAGGAGTTGGGAGGTAGCTGGGGTGTGTTATCGTTGATGGGGATGTTGAAGTCCCCGAGGATGATGGTCGGTAGCTCAGAGGAGAGGAAGAAGGGAAGCCAGACGGCGAAGTCGTCCAGGAAGCGGGGTATGGATCCGGGGGGCCTGTAGATCACTGCGATCCTTAGGGGGGTGGGTGAGAAGAGCCGATGCAGTGAGCCTCGAAGGAGGAGAAGGTTAGGGAGGGGGGGTTAGGGAGGACCTGGAAGGTGCTCAGCGGTGATAGGAGCAGGCCGACACCACCACCTTTGTGACCGTTCAGTCTTGGTGAATGAGACCAGACGAGACCTCCATGGGAGAGTGCCGCAGGGGAGGTAGAGTCAGTGGCCTGTACCCAGGTTTCGGTGATGGCTAGGAGGTTGAGGGAGCGGGAGATGAAGAGGTCATGGATGGCAGTTAGTTTGTTGCAGACCGAACGGGCGTTCAGAAGTGCAACCGAGAGAGGGGGGATGGATGCGGGGAGGAGGTGCACAGGTATGAGGTTGAGGGGGTTGCGGCAGCTGGCGGGAGCAGGGGGGTCCCTGGAGGGGGGGTTCCTGGAGGGGGGGGTGAGGTGGTGAGGGGCCAGGGTTCGGGGAGATGTCCCTAGCGGATAGGAGAAGGAGAAGGGTGAGGAGGGTGGCATGGGAATGGGAGGTGCAGGAGCGTGTGGGTCTGGTAGTGGTGGCACGTGGGTCGACGGGGGAGTGGAGTACCAGGAGGAGGTGGTGAGTGCCGTAGTGGGGAGAGGGCAGAAGTGAAGGGGCAATGTAGAGCTGTTTTGGGGGGGGTGGGCGGGTAGAGGGAGGGGATTTTTGGGATGGAGGAGAGGAAAACAAGGAGGAGAAGTGCAGGTGGCATGCTGGGGTGAGTGCAGTGCTGTTCGGGTCAGGGGAGGTGAAGGGATACGGGTCAGGGCGAGGTGATGTGGAGAGTCTGTATCACCGTGGAGGAGTCCACTAGAGTCCTTCTGTAGGGGGAGAGTGGGAGTAAAGGGCAGCAGCTGGCTGGCTGCAATCTGTGGGTGCAGTATGCTGGCGTCCGAGGGGTCTTCAGTGGGTCCGGTGGATCGGCGAGTGGAGGGGTTTGTAGGGTGCAATGTCTGGGGGTGTTGGTAGGCACGGCGTCTGGTGATGCTGGCGGCTCGGTGGCTGGAGATGTTGAGGCCGGGCGTTAGGTGCTGAGGGCTCGGTGTCGGGAAGCGCAGAAGGCGCTGAAGGCAGTTTTATGTTGAGCGACTTGAGCTGAAGGCAGTTTTATGTTGAGCCTTAGATCATACACTTGATAAATCTCATACAGTCAAACTTAAATCCCCTACCAAATTAAGCTGTGAATTTTATATCGCTACAATTTAATTGACAAATGGAGAAAAGCCAATCCCACCTCTACAGACTATTCCCATTTTTCTAGAGCTCGTAATCATTATTCTTGTACGGACTATATTTTCCTTCCCTTGGAAATGCTATCCAAACTCCATTCAGCCAAAACTGTAGTGATGCTTTGGTTGGACCACAACCCTATGTTGCTGATGTTTTTTAATTTGACGGTCAAACTGGCCAAACCACATTGGCGTCTAAATGGGTCCCTACTTAGTAATGAGTCCTATTGTTTGGAAGTAGTGGAATACTTTTGCAATTAATAAAGCAACAGATAAGTCCCTGCTATTAATTGGGCAGCCCATAAAGCCTCTGTTAGAGGTCTCTTTATCCAAGAGTCTAAAGAATATGAGGCCTTAGTCGCCCAACATAAAACTGCCCCAAACTCTGACCTGTTATTTAAAGTAGAGCAAGCTCATTTAGAACTTAACCGCTGCCTGACCACAAAAGCCGAAAAACAACAATGTTAGATGCATCATAAATTCTCCATGTCGCAGGATAGACCAGGTTCTCTTTTCACACATAAACTCACCCCTAAACATATTCACAGTGATTCCCAAACCTAGGCTCACAGGGGGGGGTCATATCACTTGGGATCCTAGAAGATCCTTTGGGAGTTTCATGACTTTTATGCTATCCAATATGGTCAACCCCAGCCTGTTGATCCTTCCTCAATTCAATATTTTTTGGAGACTTTGCGTCTTCCACCCTCAGCAAGGCCCATAGAGAACTTATGGAACAACCTATTACTGACGCGCAGCTTAGCAAAGTCATTAACCACCTCCTGTCCGGCCTTTGTATATAAACGGCCAGATGGTGGCAGTGCAGGGGTGGGTGACCATTTATAAATGGCCTCTCCGCCCCCTGCTTGTGCGCGCTCCCTGTGAGCACGCAGCAACGCGATCCGGTGCCTGCTGTGTCCTCCGGACACAGTGGAACACCAATCGTTATATGGGACCTCTCTGCGAGGTCCCGATCAGTGATCACATGCAGAGTAATATCAAGATGTCACTTCTGACATCATTGCTTACTACATGTGAAATCTGTGAATAATCACAGAGATCACATGGTACAGGGCTATTCACAACAGCCTTGTACCATGTGACAAACTGTGACCAATCACAGCTCACACAGTATTTCTCAATGGCTGCAATAATGCAGCCAGAAAGGAGAAATGATTAGTATCAGTATAAAACAAACAAAAAAAAAAATTGTCATAAACCCCCACAAGTAGTACAGTGTTACCATGGTGACACTGTACTGCTAGGGTGACAGTATGTAAAAACAAAAAAACATAAATAATAATATAAAAAAAAATAAAAATGTAAAAAAAATTTTTTTTTTTTTAAATTATAATTTTTGGTTATAAAATAATTTGTTTTTTTTTTTTTTTACTAAAATGATAACTGACTACATTTTGGCCAATATTTATGATGAAATATTATTTATTTGCAAAATTGTATAAGAAAAACACTTTTTTTCAAAATTGTTGGACGTTTCCATTTATATATATAAAAAAAAAAAAAAATCCCAGCGGGGAATAAATACCACCAAAATAAAGCTTTACCTGTCTCAAAAAAATGCTAAAAAAACTCATATAGGTACAATGTTGCATGACCGCGCAATTGTCATTCAAAGTGTGATAGCGCTGAAAGCTGAAAATTGGCCTGGACTGGAAGGGAGGAAAAGTGTCCGGACTAGAAGGGGGGGAAAGTGTCCGGACTGGAAGGGGGGGAAAAGTGTCCGGACTGGAAGGGGGGGGAAGGAAGAGTCCGGACTGGAGGGGGGGAAAGTGTCCGGACTGGAAGAGGGGGGGAAGTGTACGGACTGGAAGGGGGGGGGGGAGTGTCCAGACTGGAATGGGGGTGAAAGTGTCCGGACTGGAAGGGGGGGAAAGCGCCCGGACTGGAAGGGGGGGAAAGCGCCCGGACTGGAAGGGGGGGGAAAGCGCCCGGACTGGAAGGGGGGGAAAGTGTCCGGACTGGAAGGGGGGGAAAGTGTCCGGACTGGAAGGGAGGGAAAGTGTCCGGACTAGAAGGGGGGAAAGTGTCCGGACTGGAAGGGGGGGAAAGTGTCCGGACTGGAAGGGGGGGAAGAGTCCGGACTGGAGGGGGGGAAAGTGTCCGGACTGGAAGAGGGGGGGAAGTGTACGGACTGGAAGGGGGGGGGGGAGCGTCCAGACTGGAATGGGGGTGAAAGTGTCCGGACTGGAAGGGGGGGAAAGCGCCCGGACTGGAAGGGGGGGAAAGCGCCCGGACTGGAAGGGGGGGAAAGCGCCCGGACTGGAAGGGGGGGAAAGCGTCCTGACTGGAAGGGGGGGAAAGCGTCCGGACTGGAAGGGGGTGAAAGCGTCTTGACTGGAAGGGGGGGAAAGCGTCCGGACTGGAAGGGGGGGAAAGTGTCCGGACTGGAAGGGGGGGAAAGCGTCCTGACTGGAAGGGGGGGAAAGCGTCCGGACTGGAAGGGGGGGGGAAAGTGTCCGGACTGGAAGGGGGGGAAAGTGTCCACTGGAAGGGGGGGAAAGTGTCCGGACTGGAAGGGGGGGAAAGTGCCCGGACTGGAAGGGGGGGAAAGTGTCCGGACTGGAAGGGGGGGAAAGTGTCCGGACTGGAAGGGGGGGAAAGTGCCCGGACTGGAAGGGGGGGAAAGTGTCCGGACTGGAAGGGGGGGAAAGTGTCCGGACTGGAAGGGGGGGAAAGTGTCCGGACTGGAAGGGGGGGAAAGTGTCCGGACTGGAAGGGGGGGAAAAAGTGTCCGGACTGGAAGGGGGGGAGTGTCCGGACTGGAAGGGGGGGGGAAGTGTTCGGACTGGAAGGGGGGGAAAGTGTCCGGACTGGAAGGGGGTGAAAGTGTCCGGACTGGAAGGGGGTGAAAGTGTCTGGACTGGAAGGGGGGGGGAGTGTCCGGACTGGAAGGGGGGGTGTCCAGACTGGAAGGGGGGGAAAGTGTCCGGACTGGAAGGGGGGGAAAGTGTCCGGACTGGAAGGGGGGGAAAGTGTCCACTGGAAGGGGGGGAAAGTGCCCGGACTGGAAGGGGGGGGAAAGTGTCCGGACTGGAAGGGGGTGAAAGTGTCCGGACTGGAAGGGGGGGAAAGTGTTCGGACTGGAAGGGGGGGAAAGTGTCCGGACTGGAAGGGGGGGAAAGTGTCCGGACTGGAAGGGGGGGGGAGTGTCCGGACTGGAAGGGGGGGGGAAGTGTTCGGACTGGAAGGGGGGGAAAGTGTCCGGACTGGAAGGGGGGGGGGGGGAGTGTCCGGACTGGAAGGGGGGGGTGTCCGGACTGGAAGGGGGGGAAAGTGTCCGGACTGGAAGTGGTTAAATTGCTATCGTCACATAATTTCCCGTCTTCCAAATGACTATTATAAAACTTTTTGCAAACACCTTCTCCCCCATATGACTCTTTATTTTAATTCTTTTAGAGGGGAGGGTGTGATTACTTTAGACGAGAACAAAGCATATATCAGTGTCATTCCCAAACCTAATAAAGACTCTACTGATGTTAACAATTATCGCACATTTCATTAATTAATTGTGACCTGAAAATTCTAACAAAACTCCTGGTTTTGCGCCTTAATTCCTTTATGTCACAGTACATTTATAAGGAGCAGTGGAGTTTCATCTCGGGTCATCAAACACTGGATCAGATTCGCCGGTCTATCACTCTGATCTCGCTCACCATATAGTACAATGACGGACACAAGGCGGTTCTCTCATTCTGGGAGGATGTCATATGACGTCCTCCCACTCTAAACGCGCATGCATGGCTGTGAAAGCACGCAGCGGGGCGATCGGTGGTGCGCTGTGTCTGAAGGACACAGCGGATCACCGATCAATGGAAAGAGCCGAAGATGTCGGCTTGGTCATGTGATCAGCTGTGTCCAATCACAGCTGATCACATGTAAATAGGGAAATGCCGGTTATCTGCATTTCTCTGCTCACGAGCTGTCACGCTGACAGAGGAGAGGGAGCGTAGAGCCGGTAATCGGCATTCCTCGGACGGGACATCTACACTGATCATCAGAGCACTGATGATCAGTGTGCCCTGATGATAAGTGTAGCCCCAGCAGTGCCACCTGTCAGTGTCCATCAGTGCCAGCTGTCAGTGCTCATCCATGCCACCTGCCAGTGCCCATCAGTGCCACAATGCCACATATAAGTGCCCATCTGAGCTTCTTTTCAGTTTTACCTATCAGTGCCAGTCAGTGCCACCTATCAATGCCAGTCAGTGCTACATATCAGTGCTTCCAGTCAGTGCCGCCTATCAGTGCTCATCAGTGCTGCCTATCAGTGCCGCCTAACAGTGCCAGTCAGTGCCGCCTAACAGTGCCAATCAGTGCTGCCTAACAGTGCCAGTCCGTGCCAACTAACAGTGCCAGTCCGTGCCAACTAACAGTGCCAGTCAGTGCCGCCTATCAGTGCTGCCTTTCAGTGCCCATCAGTGATGCCTGTTAATGTCCATCAGTGCCACCTACCAGTGCTTCCTCATCAGTGCCCATCAGTGCCACCTATCAGTGTCCATCAGTGCAGCCTATCAGTGCCCATCACTGCAGCCTCATTAGTGTACATCAGTGAAGGAGAAAAATCACTTATTTACAAAATTTTCAGTGGTTTTTGATTTGTTTAGCAAAAAATAAAAAACCCCGAGGTGATTAAATACCACCAAAAGAAAGCTCTGTCACAAAAAAATGATAAAAATTTCATATGGGTACAGTGTTGCATGACCGCGCAATTGTCATTCATAATGTGACAGCGCTGAAAGCTGAAAATTTGGCCTGGGCAGGAAGGGGGTAGAAGTGCCCGGTAGGTTTGAGGTTAAATAGCTTAATTTGGGGGTATTTGTATACTTCCTTCGGATTTGGTCCTACGTTTCTTGCTTTTTTGCATCTGTTATATCATAATCCCTCGGCTCAAGTTTCCATTAGAGGTTATAGATCCCCTGTGTCCCCAATTTGACGCAGCACCAGACAGGGTTGTCCACTTTCCCCATTGGTTTTCACCCTGGCGATCGAACCCTTAGCTATGGCAATCCGTTCCCATCCTCAAATCCATGGCATCCATTGTGGACAGCAGGAACATAAATGTGCCCTAATTGCTGACGATGTCCTTATGTATATAACCCCCCCTTTGATCGCTGCACCTAACCTACTGTCTCTGTTGTACCAATTTTCTGCTCTTACTGGGATGTCCCTAAACTCCCAAAAAACAACAGTCCTTAACATTTTTTTACCCGTTCCTGTAGAACGGCAGCTCATAAATACTTATGACTTGCAATGGGCAAGTAACTCATTACCCTATTTAGGAATCCACTTATCTGCTTCAGTCAAGACCCTCTATCAAGCGAATTATTCTCCCCTCTTTAAAAAAAAACTTATAGATCTTCGCCGTTGGACCGACTACTCCTTGTCTTGGTTTGGGAGAGTCAACTAGATTAAAATGACATTTTTGCTCCGATTGCTATATTATTTTAGAAACCTTGCCAATACCAATTCTGAGACGGGAGCTGCAGCATCTACAAGCTGAGATATTCTCCACTTTGTTTGGAACAATAGAAGACCTCGGATGAACCAAAAGACATTATATGCCTCCTAAACCGCAAGGTGGGATTGGCCTTCCTAATCTTCATGTGTATTTCCAAGCCGCTCAAATTGCCCAGCTGGCCTGCACCACTGCTAATGGATCTACCCCTCCCTTGGTTTCTAGCAAAGCTCTTTCCTGTCACCCCCTAGCAGTCGGCTCATTACTTTAGCTTCCTAATTGATCGCGCCCTCCTATACTATGCCCTACTTTGTCGCATTCTTTGACGGTCTGGGACAAAGTATGTCATTGCAAATCATTAGCATCTCCACATAACCCCTGGCTCTGATCTTTTGTAACCCTGAATTTGTACCTGGTTTAGTGCTTGCCCATTTTCAATGGTGGATCAATAAAGGATTGTTGCAGA